CAGTGGTTAAAGCTTCCTTAACCGCGAAAACTTTAAAATTCAAATTTTCAAATTTTGAACGTAAAGTACATTTTTTCCATCACGAGATAAAAGCACAAACAAGTTTTGAATTGTTGACTGTATCACCATGATTCCAAAAATACAATACACAACATAGCATTGACTAACAATAAAACAGTATGCAATAAAATAAAGTCATGACAAGGAACATAGCCGAAAATGGCGCCGATTCCCATCAACCAACGCGCGGTCTCTACAATGTAACATGCTGCATTGATACTCCCTAGCTGGGACCGTCCGGAATAGCAGCTCTAGTGCAAGCACCAGAGCCGCTAAAAATTACTATGGCTCTTTAAAAAGAAAGATACTTATTCATTTTAAACCGCGTAACGTACCAGTTTTTGTCACCCTCTGCTTGATTGCGTAGTTACACGAACTAAAATGAAAATAAATAAATCTATAAGAAGTCTTTAGGCAAACTCCTTATTCGCACAAGATATCGGTTGTGCGTTATCTTTTGCATGCAGTTCCTTTGCAGGTGGTGAGGAAAAATGCTGCATGAACCTTCAGACGTTGTCAATTTTTTTTTCGATAAAATAAGAATTTTTGGAAAAATCTGTGAATATTTCCCCTCCAATTTTTCAGAGAATTTAATTTCCAACCAGATCTAAATTCTCTGAAAATTTCAAGAAAAATATTCATGACTATCGCTCAATATCACTCTACAAAGATATCAAAATAAAATATAATCACCTACCTCCTCCGTCAGAGATGAGAAGAGAAAATCCTACGAGACTTAATGAACTCCAACACTAGGTTCGTGCTTACACGCGGAGCACAATCAACAAAATGAAAAGATGAACAGAACCCCTGAACTTTTGACGGGTTTTACCCGCGACCCAGAGTGCAGATGCAGGGGATTGGACAAGGTTCAGGTTTTCAAATTTTTGAAATTTAATATACTACGGGCGAGAGGATCGCATAACATTAATTTTGGATTTTGAATTCTGGTCCTGAGTTTTCTCAATAATCTATGTTAATTGAACGCCACACAAGAATCGTGCCTCAACGAATCGATTATCAAATCGTTATCGAATCGCTCCCTATCGCTAAGATCAGTGGCGTGGCGTGCTTTGCGATTTATCGATTGTTATACCATTTAAACCTATGGAAAAGGATCGATAAACAGGGTGTTCGCAGCGAACACCTTAATAATCGATTCTTTACCATAGGTTTAAATGGCATAACAATCGATACATCGCAATTCACGCCACGCCACTGGCTAAGATAGGGAAATACCTCGATAAATCGATAATCGATAGTATCGATCAAAGTAGTTCGGTATCCGTTCAACAATGGATTCGCAGGTTCAGAACCTTCCGATACTAGTGGAGCTTATTGCAATTTATTGCATAGGCAATGCAGCTCATTCTAACTCATTTGTAATTTAGAATTGTCGATTTTAAAACCGAACATGCACATTATCTAATGAGCCTCAGAATTCACGCATTCTTATGGAGTCAACTGCTTACGAGGCAATGGAGTTGTGAGGTTTTAACATCCACATATTCATTCTTGAGCGGCCGCTTTTTCCTGACCGCGTATTCGGGCGAGAATTAGCTTCTCAGAACAAAGAACGTAACTAAATTTCAGCGTTGCAAAAGTTCCACCTGTAAATTG